TACAACAACTAGTTGATGAAATTTACCAAATAATTTTCTCCGCACGGAGAGAAATTTTTTAGAAAAATTCTAGTGCTATAGCACGGGAAAAGAGGCGCAAAGTGACGGCCAGGAAAAAATTCCAGTGCTGGCACGAGAAATTGTATTGGGGAAAACGTGAATTTTTCCCCGTATTGCTGTGAAAATTTCACAGAAATCCCCCGAAATTTTACCAGAAATACCAAGAAATTTTACCTTAACAGTACTAGAATTTTTCACAGCCGGTGGATTGTGATTTTTTCCAGTACTCGTACTAGAATTTTTCTAGAAAATTTCTCTCCGTGCGTGTGCAAATTCTCGTTGATTTTCCATTATTTTTCGTCGACATTCGTGACTATGATGTTCTTGGGATGTAGTTGATACACCTGGTGTATTTACCAATTCAACTTCGCGAAGAATGTGAAGGCAAGATAATAGGTCGAGTGGCCATGAACATCAGAAGACCTTCACTGTCCATTGGCCTGCCTCGCTCGTTCTTTACTTGCTGCTCATGTACGACAGTGAAGCTTTGAAAGATAATCGATGGAAATGGCAAAAATCAGTACAACATGTGCATTAATTGACGAATTAATTGAAAGCTGACGGCAAAATATTCCAATGACAATGATTTAATTCGTTTTTATTAATTCGAAACGTAGTCTCAGTACGCTAGAATTTCCGAGATACTATTTCTGAACTATTCCGAGGATTTTTTTATTAGAAAAAGTACTAGAAAACAACGTATCAATTAGTTCTAGAATGATATTGTGGGCCATGATGTCGATATTATAAAAATTATTCTTTTCCACGGCGATTTCTGGGAAGTATTCGTAAAAATTTCTATCGAAATGTAGTTTTTATTCGCCTCGCACTAATGCTACACTCTGAAGACGAAACGACCTAATATCAAAAACCTAATTTCTTCAGTCAAATATAGTACTTTTTTGTTGCTTAACCATGTTTTTATTCAATATGACATAATTATTTGCAGTTATTTTTATTAAAAGAACAGGTATATAAAGAAATGAACGTTTTATATCTGAATTTTTGAGATAAACTGTGTTCACTTTATGACTCTCAAGTTTTAAACATTTTTAATTCATAGTCAAATATATTACCTTGCGAGGACAAATGGCTTGGGACGAAAATTCCGTTGAATGAGACAGGTCGTGTACGAATTCCGTGATTTGTACACATGAACACCGTATGTTGAAGTGATTCTGTTAGAAGATGCGGAATGGACCAAGATTGGCCGAGGGTGGCCCAACAGTGGCCAGCATCGGGCCATCCTCGGTTTAACCTGGGCCTTTTCTCATCTCTTACCAGGGGAGAATTTCTCCGCTCAAGAAATCGTTCATTCCGGGTAGGGAGTTGCGAAAATAACTCAAAATACTAAAAGCTTAGACCCAATGAATCACGTAACAGGGGTTTCCGTATTGAATGAATGTGCAAGTCATGCAAAGAAAAATCTTCCGACATTCTTGAAATATCACCGTCGCTTGCTCTCAATCGGACTCAGTTCAAAGGAAATAAATGACTTCATCTTTTTATTTTAAACTGTACTTTTCTTTTCGAGAATATTACTATTTTTTAGACAAAAATTCAGAATCGTAGTACTTCATATCGAAGAGTATCGATTTCTTATTTGGAACGTCCCGTCAATATCCCAGCTAATGCCACTAGAAGCTCTTCGTTTCTTTAATAAAAATCAAATGATAATATGTATTTTTTTAAGAATATTTAATACTCTGCTTTATGATTTGTGATTGATAGTTCCCCAAATGAATGATTAAGCAAATTAATATTTGAAAAATGGAAAACTTCAGCCATGTGCCAGTTTCTGACACTTGGGAAGGCCATGTTTCCGTTTTTGCCACCCTTCGGTGCCAGTTAATGGCAAGTGGAAAAATAACCCGCAGGAGTGATATTGTTATGTAATGATAATAATAATCAAAATGACATTAGACCGTTTATAAAATGCAAAATAAATCGAAAGATGCTCTATGCGTCCATCCATTATTATGAATGTATAGTGCCAAAAATTACGTGTCCCAGTAAATCCCAGATCACTTTTTGACAGATCGTGGACAGTTTGTTATTTAATTTTGAATGTAATTGTGCGATAACGTTCATTTTTTTGTAGTTGTAAAAAAAGGAAATTCCCTTTTCATCACTTATGCGTAAAATGATATTTTACGCACGCTCCGTGTGCGCAAAATCCCGCGTTCCACCCATTGTCATGAAAAATAGGGTTCGACACTCGTGAGAAAAGTTTTCTTTGACCCTTGGGAGGGCAGCGCTCCCGCAAACTCGTAAAAGAAAAAATCACTACGTAAAAATATCGGTCACGTCTAGTACCATGGGGTTTTTTCACTCGCGTGGTTGACCAGATCTCGTCTAAAAAACCCCATAGCACTCGCCCTGAAATGGTATGTTTCGTCATTAGGTCGAAAAAAACTTTTCTGGCGAATATGAGTCTGCAGCACTTGTATCGAAATACACTATTGCACTATGATGAATTGTTTATGCTTCTTCAGGAAATTTGGAATTATATTCACTAAAAAATCGTTGAGAGTGGCAGAAACCGGGACCGTTGCACTGATTTGGACATCGAAGGTATCACGGATAGACCAAGCACTAGAGATGCAAATGCGTCACATGACCCGTCATATGACGGTCATGTGACCGTCACAACTTGTCAAGAAAAAATGACAGTCATTTTTCATCTATATAGATGAAACTTTATTTTTTTCTCGGTCAATTTTCAATTGAATTCCTTTTGTATTGGCCTAATCCGCATTTTGAAATGGAAATCCCGTTTTTTTTCCATCCATATAGATGAAACTATTTTGTTTTATTCATGACCGTCACAAATTGGAAATTAGTTATGACCGTCATTATGCAACTATATAGATGGTTTGACAACAATTTGGTTACAAATGATTTGTGACAATCATTTGTAGTTGGAAAATTTGTGCGTCACATGACCGTCATTTTTTGGTCATATGACGCGATCTAAAAAATGACGGTCATTTTGCATCTCTACCAAACCCCTACTATTATGAAACTATTATGATTCAATTTGGATTTGCCATGCAATTTATTTATTGTTTGACATAACTACCCAATGAATAATAGCAGATTCTTAATTATCATCGGCGCCGAATCAGTCAATTATAGACGATTGAAACAGAACTACATTGTGACGTCATCATTGGCTCTGACTTTTCAGTCTCCGATGTTTCAAAATAAAAAAAAATCAGCAAAGATTTATCTATAATTTTCGAATGGCGTAAGTTTCCAGGCCTGGAGTGAAGAAGAATCATGGTTTTCGCCGGGTGGAAAAGAAAAATGAAAAATTCGAATGTATTCAGATGAATGCCCGCGCGATCAATGCTGGATCATCCATTCCAAGTCATCCACCTTTGCCCATGCCAACAGTCCGATATCAACGTCACTACAAACGCAGGAGGTTGATGACGTAAATTAATCGCACAGCCTGACCACTCACCATTCACGGGGCGACGGCTTGAGACATCTCCAACGGGTACAAGGACCTCTTTACATCTACCGATGCATCTCACCCACAGGCGCATCTGACTCCCAGGCATACTGTATTAGCACGTGAATCACAAACCACTCCAGATACTATCACGAATCTTTTTTTATGAGCAAAAAAATTGAGTATAAATTTGATCGTCACCACGATCTGGTGCATTCATCAACAATTATCAAGATGAAATTATCAAAATAGAATAACTCGGAATGCATCAGTGTGAGGGGAATTGCAAAGAAAGAGACATTTTTCATTATTTAAAAATATTTTATATACACCTTGTTCTTTTTAGAGTTGTTTTTTGTTTTTGTTTGTTTTCATTTTTTTCCGTTTTTTTCTCACACTTGAGTACACAGAAATCAGTGACACGTACAATTTAATCGATTTCCAAATTGTGCAGGTTCCATCCTTGCTGTAACACAGTGCGTTTCCAANTTGTTTTATTCATGACCGTCACAAATTGGAAATTAGTTATGACCGTCATTATGCAACTATATAGATGGTTTGACAACAATTTGGTTACAAATGATTTGTGACAATCATTTGTAGTTGGAAAATTTGTGCGTCACATGACCGTCATTTTTTGGTCATATGACGCGATCTAAAAAATGACGGTCATTTTGCATCTCTACCAAACCCCTACTATTATGAAACTATTATGATTCAATTTGGATTTGCCATGCAATTTATTTATTGTTTGACATAACTACCCAATGAATAATAGCAGATTCTTAATTATCATCGGCGCCGAATCAGTCAATTATAGACGATTGAAACAGAACTACATTGTGACGTCATCATTGGCTCTGACTTTTCAGTCTCCGATGTTTCAAAATAAAAAAAAATCAGCAAAGATTTATCTATAATTTTCGAATGGCGTAAGTTTCCAGGCCTGGAGTGAAGAAGAATCATGGTTTTCGCCGGGTGGAAAAGAAAAATGAAAAATTCGAATGTATTCAGATGAATGCCCGCGCGATCAATGCTGGATCATCCATTCCAAGTCATCCACCTTTGCCCATGCCAACAGTCCGATATCAACGTCACTACAAACGCAGGAGGTTGATGACGTAAATTAATCGCACAGCCTGACCACTCACCATTCACGGGGCGACGGCTTGAGACATCTCCAACGGGTACAAGGACCTCTTTACATCTACCGATGCATCTCACCCACAGGCGCATCTGACTCCCAGGCATACTGTATTAGCACGTGAATCACAAACCACTCCAGATACTATCACGAATCTTTTTTTATGAGCAAAAAAATTGAGTATAAATTTGATCGTCACCACGATCTGGTGCATTCATCAACAATTATCAAGATGAAATTATCAAAATAGAATAACTCGGAATGCATCAGTGTGAGGGGAATTGCAAAGAAAGAGACATTTTTCATTATTTAAAAATATTTTATATACACCTTGTTCTTTTTAGAGTTGTTTTTTGTTTTTGTTTGTTTTCATTTTTTTCCGTTTTTTTCTCACACTTGAGTACACAGAAATCAGTGACACGTACAATTTAATCGATTTCCAAATTGTGCAGGTTCCATCCTTGCTGTAACACAGTGCGTTTCCAACTGCGATATTTCATTTTTTAACTTTTAATCTCGTGTAAAAATGGTTGTTTGGGAATTTATTAGGTATACCGCTTCACTAACGCATTGTACACTTTCAATAAATAAGTTCTTTTTGGATAATTTTGTCTTAGCGGCATTAGTTTCAATAGATTCGCGCATTTTCGTGCTCAGGCAATAACATTTCGATCAAATGTTAGCATTGTACAGTAAAAACTACATATTCATCTCTTGATTTCTTCTCCACGAGTTTTTGTTCTATTCATTATTCACAGTAAAGAGTATTTTTATGCTTTTTTCTCACGGCACATTTCCGCTAGGATTAATGATTTGATGAGTTTTATTATGTTTCATTATTAATTCAGGTTTTCTTTGAGAAACGCAATAACATTTTCACTAAATTTCAACTGAAAATTGCATCCATTGTTGTCAATTAAACCGCCATACTTGACATTCGAAATAGCTTTGCGTTTCTCATCGTCATTTTTCCATTTAAAATGAAGAATTATCATGATTTTAATCAATATTCAATATCCAGCATAAATAAAATTAACTAAATAACTATAAAACATGAGATCATGACGAAGAATAAGGTGAAAAATTGTGGAGTTGTTAATTTCCATTAAAAATTGAGGTACATCTGCTTTTCAAAAACAAGAGTTAATTTATGCTCTCGAACATTGATCACACGAAAAAGTACGTCTAAGACCGTCTTAGCACTGAGACAGCTAGAAATTTTGCTCGCGTCATCGTTTTCATCTCCGATGACTAATTATTTTGCCTCAACAATTATCCAATATAGTACGGCAGTATAGTATACCTCGGATGCAACAGCAATTACCATCTTTTGAAAAAATATATTGGTTCATCAATTGTGTCTCCCTTCATTAATTCGCAGAATTGATTGTAATTTTGCAACTTTTACTGCAATTTACTTTAGAAAAAAGTACAATAATCAAAATTTAATCAAATTGATCCACAGCAGTGACTTTTCCATGACTCAAAAATCAAATAAATATTGCCTCTTACATCATTCAAACTAAAAATTTCCCCCCAAATCATCATCTTTAACAAACTAATGAAATCATCCTGTTAATCTTAATTATTCAGCTACAATCGATAAAATAAAATGACAATGAATCATGCAGTAACCAATGATGAATGAGCAATTGATCAATATCCCGAAAGTCAATGGCCAAAGAACATTCAAACTTCCTGCTCTTAAACTGGAATGTGTCAACACAAAACAAATATCAATTAAATAAATTTTCCCAATAATAAAAATGAAAATTCTGAAAAATACTAATATCAAATTACGGACTTGAAAAAATAAATAGTGATTGAATTCCCCTGTCCTCCTCGACTTTCAGACATTGAATTTTAAAAAATGGCATCATAGGATATACAATATAGATATCTGTATGTATATATGTACAAGAAATTTGCATCCTTAGTGATAACAACATAATATATATATATGTTACAGTCTTTTCTTTGGTAACGAACCAAACGCCGATATAACAGTGGGTTTCTGCCCAGATGCTGATGACGTTAGTGTTGTTAAAGTCGGTTGTGACAACAGCATTGTAGGTTTGACTGTTGTTGTTGTACCAGTGGCGACCTGATCCCACTTGCTTTTTCTCTTCTTGGCATCGTCCTCAGCGGTTGTTGTCGAGCTGTTCGGTCGCTTAGCAGTCCCCGAGACAATTTCAATTTTCGTCTTCTCCTTTCTCGCCTTCTCGAGCTTATCCATCTCCGTTTTCTGTACTTTGGCCAATTCCTCGTAGTAAGAGTCCTTACCCCACTTGAATGGATCAAACCTCTCAGGTGAATAATTAGTACCTAATTCATTGATACTACAAAATTGTATAAGTTTTTCATAAATCGATGGATTTCTAAAATCTTTTCTCAGTTGTATTAATTTATTCATATCCAAACCACCGCTCTCCATTTTCCTAAAAAGTACAGTTATTTTATCCTGCAATTCAATTGGACACTGACCAGTTGGTTCCGGTGGTATTATAACACCATCAATATCACCATCATTATCTCCAACAGCATCTGAAACTAATTCTCCCAGTATCGAGGGTGACGGCTCAAGTTTAATCGAGGTAAGGCCATTTTCCATGTGATGTACATTGGCCAACTCGCTATTAACTGTCGCTGTACCCTCGTCATCGGAGACAACAGTGTCATCAAAATATGAAACTAAACGCTGGACCTTGGACGTTACATCGGTAACTAGGGTGGGTGGATTTGACAATATTGATACTGTCTTGCTCCCAATACTGGTGTCAACGTTGGGGCTATTTGATGCTGATCTACCAGATTTGGGACTGCTGATACCCTGGGGCTGACCGACTTGGGAATTATGAGGACCAGCCCCGATGGGTGCCTTTGCATTCTCCTGCTGTTCTTCATCCACACCATCCTCACCCTCCGAGTCGGTGTAGGTGGCCGTTAGAGATGCCAGAGCAACACTTTGTACAGACATTGTTAGTTGGCTTTGAGTGTCCTTTGAGCTACCAATCAATATTTTGTGTTGGAACTCACCGGTGTACCGTTGTTTCTTGATGATTTTTTTGGACTCTCAATTACGAACGAAACTGGTGGAAAGAATTGACTTGACAAAACAAAAATGGAAATAAAAATCAAAGGATCAATGCTTTTTTTAAAATAAATTCTTTCCAGTTTGTGCTCGAATCGTAATTGGAGATGCCCCTCGCTGGAATGTTTATCTATTGATCTGCAAGAAGGGGGTTGAGGTGTTAATGACAGCTTTTAGGTTAGGGGGTATAGGCGACCATAACACGTTGTCATTGCACCAATTGACTTCTCACCTCTTATTCCAAGCACGTTAAACTGGTGCTGAGGCTCAGTCCATCAGGCTCAGGCACATCACGTCTGCTGGGTTAATCCATCGATTGACTGACACTAACTCGACAGGATTGTTTGTTTTTTTACTCACTTACAACTACGAAATAACAATGATTTTTCGTCCACACCGTCTCGCTGGATTACGAAATCAAAACGTTACGGGCAAATGTCTAGATTCTTCACGTATTATTCACGATTATTGAGGGTTCCGTTTGGTATTGCGGGTATTTTGGGTACTCGATGAATCACTCAACTTATCCAGCGGCTTTATTTTGCTATTTCACTCGTGGAAACGATTTTAGAAAATTAAAAACACACTAAGCGTACGATACCGATCCAAGTTTCCGGACGCCATTTTGTGCTCAATAAAAAGTGGGTGACGAGTTGGAGAAGTTTTGGCGCTGGTGAATCCCTCGCTTCTAGATGCAATAAACCATTCTCATATCATCATTCAATCTTCCTTATTATATTGCAAAAAATTGAGACAAATCTAGTACTTTATGAAATGAAAAATCAAGTTCAATTCAATTGAATTTTCAATTTATTCTATTGAATTTTAATTTTCCACTCAATTTAATTTAATAAAACAAGATAAAACTGCACATTACATTCAATATTAAAATATATTTCCATATTTACAGAGGTATTTTCGTTGTACAAAAATTAATCTAGTTTAAATATCCTACAGTATTCACAATCGTCTCTTCTGTACAGCGCCAAAAGCCACGATAACTTTACATTTTTTATCGCTCGCACCCAAGCTTGTTACCACGGTGGTCTTCGTCGGAGCAGTGGCAGTAGTAACTTGATCCCACTTTCCAACTTTCCTTTTGCTCTCCTCAACCGCAACCGCAGCAACAATCGGTCGTTTAACGCCACCAGTCGTCACCTCCGCCTTGGACTTTGATTTCTTCGCCAGTTTCTCCATGACTGCCTCCTGAGCCTTCCCGAGCTCCTCGTAGTACGACTCCTGTCCCCACTTGAATGGGTCAAAGTATTCAGGCGAGTAATTTGTACCTAATTCATTAATCCTACAAAATGAAATAAGTTTTGAGTAAATCGACGGATTTTTAAAGTCTTTTCGCTGTTTGATGACGCGCGTCAAGTCTAATCCTTCAATTTCCATTTTCCTATGAAGTGCAGTGATTTTTTCCTGCAATTCTGGTGGACACTGGCCCTCTGGCTCCGGCGGTATAAGATCATCCAGGATCATATCTTCCTGAAGCAATACCGAACATTTTTCGCTTGTATTCCGGACATTTTCAGCTGTAATAACAGTCACTTCCTCTTGATGAACAAATGAATCATCAAAATCGTACGAAACTAATTGCTCGACCTTTTTCGGTGTAACATTTACAATCAAATTATCTGTCTGTGGAATTGTTGGGGAATTTGTGGCTGACTTTGCAAATATGGGACTGACGATACCCTGGGGCTGACCAACCTGTTTATTATGGGGGGCAGTCGCCTGGGATGGTACTGTATTAGCCTCATCATCGACATCAACATCATCCTCACCCTCCGAGTCGGAATAGGTGACTGCTAGAGATGCTAGAGCTACACTTTGTACAGACATTGTTAGTTAGCTTTGAGATTCACGGTTTGCTACTGAACAATATGTTGGGATGTAACTCACCAGACTAGCTTTTGAGTTTTTTTATTATTGATTACTTAATAAATGCGTGGCTTGTTTATTCCTCGTAATAATCGTGGTAATGCCTCTTGTGTTGACCAGAATTGTGAATTTCCCCTGAAACAAAAAGTTAAACATGGAGGTTAGAAATTGAATTTGCATTTTCATTGGTTTTACACGTCTTAAAATTACTGACTCACCCTTTGATTCAGCTCCTGTGATCAATTGTACGAGGTTGTTGTTTTTTTATACGAATAAATAACAAAATTATTGTTAAAAATAAAAGAAATGTGGAAACTAAATGTTACGCTGTTTTCGAAGACACTGACTCGCACATTATTCGAACAATATCCTTGTTTTGTTAGTGTTTTCGTAATTATCCCAGGAGAGAAGTTAATCTTCTGTGCTCTGATTTTTGATAATTACAGCTGAGAATTTTTAATCAGTGCGTGGGAGATTGAAGAAACAAGACGAATAATAAACGTTCTTTAGCGTTGGAGACGGACACTGGACTGCACTAAATTGAGTGACCATAGACATGTAATACCTAGACTGCGCGTTTGAGTGGTGGCGGCGGCACGAAACAGAAAAGGAGCGCCGTTTTGTCGCCACTTTCTCTCTTTGTCGAATAGAACGGCCGCGGAGTTTGGAGGGAAACGCAGATTTGAATTACACGCAAAAAAGTTATTATATATTTCACTAAATTTAAACACTTTGAATTTATACACTTGTCTAGTTTACAATTTCGTGAACTAATTTCGAAGATAAACCTTTTTACAACTTGAATTCATTAAACTCGTATATTTTATAAGACTTAACACACTCTGGACTTATATTTTCCGTGAGATGTTGTCTCTTCCAAACTTGGAATTGAAGTGTCTTTAAGTTCTAATTTCTCAACTCTCGCTAACTCGGACAAATAACTATTTTGGGGGTAGAGGGGGTTTAACTAATCAACAACAAGCAATTTGCGGTTTTACACGAAGGGCAGCGGCTAACCGGGGTAGTAGTAGGGGTCGATGTTCGCCCATCGATGAGACATATCAATTCCAGGTAACAAAGTCTCGACGCCTTGGCGGCGACCCTTGAGTGAGTTTCCAGGTAAAAGGGATTAGAGAGTGGGTCAAACACGGAGGGTGAAAATTCGCCCTCCTAATAAAAGTGAATGAACTTTATGACGGTCAAGATATGAAATGAAAGGGGAAGCAAAATTCTCAAGAAAACGATTCGAATATTTATGCATTGATGAAGCTGATAATTCTCCAAGAGACAGACAGGGGGTGACTCGAAGATAGTTTGAAAATTCTAAAGAAAAGGTGAAGGCATTGAAAGTAACGTGGATTTATTTTATAACAATTGGAAATTATGATAAGATAATACATGAAATATTCGAGGAATTTAGCTGAGAAATGCTAACGTATCATAATTGTCCAAATCATTTAGGTCAGAGGAAAATAGAATAATTCTACTTTCTTAATATTGCGTTTACTAAGGTTTTCTTCGAACAAGTTTGATTAGAATTAATAGTTAGAATTATGCGATTATCTCACATTTTTTACGTTAACGTTATTTTTCACTTTGAACAAATAATATTAATATCCAAATACAAAATTTCTGATATGAATAAAAAGAAGCTGTGACTCAATATTCCAAATGAAGTTTTAATTCTTAATTTGGTGCTGAAAACACGAGATAACAATATTCTAAGCGCGGAATTACATCGATAAGATGACCGTTAATTTCATTGAATTACCGTGTGAACTAAATAAAAATTGATAAGTGTGGGCACACGCTTTTACCAAAGTATCAACAAATATTGACTTCCAAAATTTCACACTCTAAAGTGTGTACTAGAAGGAATTGAATTGTAATTATGATTAAAATCTTCTTCAGTAAGCATAGCAATTGGAACATGAGCAAATCATTGACTGTAATATGAAAATTTAACAGTTGCTAAATTTGGACATATGATCCTTATCGATCGTGTAGTTTTTTACAATGAGAATAATCATAAACAAATAATTGGAAAGGGGGTATCAACACCCCGGCCGCTTTAGGCCGAGGTGGTGCTAGTATTTACAAGATAATCAAATGAATTTCCGTGTAATTTCCGGGTTTTTCCTATCATCTTAACATTATTGTATAATTCATTATTCCTCGTTTGAATCCTAGTAAAAATGGCCAAAGCCTAACACAGGTTTTCAATGCACTACTAAACGACTGAAAACGCGCCCAAAAGTAATGGGTGCAGCCCGCTCTCCATGGAGCGACGTACGACTCACTTCCGGGACGCGTCCAATCGTTTCGTTGCACCATTAGCATTACTTATCCCATTTCACGAAGTATCGTGGCCGGCACAGTACGATCCTGCTGGCGGCGTTAATATTTCACATTCACACGCAAAAGTAATCCAGAAACATCGACGATTGTTTCTGCCCTGCCTTCGTCCATGAGGTAAAATATTATCCATCGATATCATTTCTGCATTTTCCATCCAATATTACTATGAATAATTAATCCATAGTTGCAAGAACAACATTCTAAATTTGCGAGTACAAAGTATCGTAACGATGCACAGATAATCAATCACGTGACTGCTCTTTTTCGTTAATTTTCAGAAAAAACAACCTTTTCATTTATGATTTGCGTTATTATCTAGGGAGCTATTCATTTTTTTCATTAATATTTTTTTTTGTTTCTGCAGCGGCATCAGAGACGCCATGCCAGTCTAGTGCACCCCAGCACGGGTGTGCGTGGCACTTGAATAATTTAATGAACTGAAGACGTGACAATAATCGTACCTCAGCATGTATCTGTACAATCTGACCCTTCAGCGTGCCACAGGCATCACTCATGCAGTCCACGGTAACTTCTCCGGCAGTAAAATGCAGGAGATTCTGGTCTCCAGGGGCAAATCCCTGGAGCTCCTGAGACCTGACCCTACGACTGGAAAAGTTCACACAGTCCTCACAGTCGAGGTCTTTGGAATAATCAGATCGTTAATGGCGTTCAGGTTGACTGGAGGCACCAAAGATTATATTGTTGTTGGCTCTGACTCCGGGAGGATCGTTATCCTGGAGTATATTCCTGCTAAAAATATCTTTGAGAAAGTGCACCAGGAGACATTCGGAAAGAGTGGATGCAGGAGGATTGTACCTGGACAGTATCTTGCCATTGATCCGAAGGGACGAGCTGTTATGATAGGTGAATATTTTTCTTTGATTTTTCATTTCATTCTCCTGGCACGTGGGATGTTCAGAACAACTCTCCAGAGATTTTTCGATCAAACTTCTTTGCAGTTCTTCATTTATCAAAAGTTGGAGGTGAACGACCTTTGAATCAAGTGCCAGAGTAGGAATGAAAACTCTAATTGAGGTTTTACATGACATTTTCCAGCTACAGACAATTAAAATAGAATTAAAAATATTTAATCCTTTTTTTAAGATAACGAATACGAAGTGAATTACAGGGAATGATAAATAACTGCATGGTGAAGTCACATTGTAAATTCTGCTGTGGCAGCTTCTCAATTCTTAGTTACGTTCAAAGATAAAAATGAGTATTCAATCATTTTCATCCTACTTTCGTCATTCAGAATTTTTTCCAATAAGGTCTTATGCAAAACCTCAATTATGATCGAAAAATGACTCCAAATTACTGTATGATGATCTATTCTGTCCGTGTTTCACCTGAATTACATTGATTATACACATCAGATACTGAAATTACCCCTAGACGATCCCAAAGTCATCATTCAGCTCCACAGATAAACTGATGCAATTAAATTTTCAAAATTTCCAGGTGCCATCGAGAAGCAGAAACTCGTGTACATCCTCAACAGAGACCCAGAGGCCCGCCTGACCATCTCCTCACCCCTAGAAGCCCACAAAAGCAACACCCTAGTCTACCACACAGTTGGTGTGGACGTTGGATTCGAGAATCCCATGTTTGCCTGTCTGGAAATTGATTATGAAGAGGCAGACAGTGATCCCACTGGTGATGCAGCAGTCAAAACACAACAGACATTGACTCTTTACGAGCTCGACCTTGGGCTGAACCACGTAGTGAGGAAGTACAGTGAACCCCTGGAGGAGCACGCAAACTTCTTGGTTTCAGTGCCTGGTGGTAATGATGGTCCCAGTGGAGTTCTCATCTGCTCCGAGAACTATCTCACCTACAAGAACCTGGGTGACCAGCACGACATTCGTTGCCCCATTCCAAGGAGGAGGAACGACCTCGACGATCCAGAGAGGGGCATGATCTTCGTGTGCTCAGCCACCCACAAGACCAAGAGCATGTTCTTCTTCCTGGCCCAGACTGAACAGGGAGACATCTTCAAGATCACTCTAGAGACTGACGAGGACATGGTCACTGAGATCAAACTCAAGTACTTTGACACTGTTCCTGTCGCCACCAGCATGTGCGTTCTGAAGACTGGATTCTTATTCGTGGCATCAGAATTTGGGAATCATTATTTGTACCAGATAGCACATCTTGGGGACGACGATGACGAGCCTGAGTTCAGCTCTGCCATGCCTCTGGAGGAGGGTGACACGTTCTTCTTTGCTCCCAGACCACTGAGGAATTTAGTTCTTGTGGACGAGATGGATAGTTTGTCTCCTATTCTGGCGTGTCAGGTAATTGAAATTTATCTTCATGAAAATGAAAACTGAACCAGTTGAAGAAGAGGAAAATGTCAAGAGTTTTTTTGGATTCTATGAAACTCTATTAAAATAGCCAGATGAGATATTTTGGGAATAATCTGTCTGGATCTGAGGAAGGGGATCAGCATCGACAAGTAGAGGCTCAATACTCTCAATTATTGCTCCTCTGTGAATCGATGCGAGATAAAACAATTTTCGTCGCCTTTGATTTGTATCCTCTCTTGCAAATCGAAGTGAACTCGAAAAATAACATTTCTCATCTTCCTCAGTTCTATTTTTACATTCCTTTTGACCCATGGGAAATAGCAAAAGGAAATGGGAGATAAAAATGAATTTGCATATCTAGGTTGCAGATTTGGCAAACGAGGACACTCCACAGCTATATATCGCCTGTGGCAGAGGACCAAGATCAACGCTACGAGTGTTGAGACACGGATTGGAAGTATCTGAAATGGCTGTGAGCGAACTTCCTGGTAATCCCAATGCTGTATGGACGGTGAAGCGGAGAGTTGATGGTTAGTTGTATTTTTTAAGACTTCACTTTTTTTTCGTTCATTTTCTACTAGAATTCGTGTTTCCATGCGTCCCAATTCAAGATTAACCCGAGAGCCGAGAGATAAAGAACCGAGTTATCACACTCAGAGCTAAAGACCCTACAGTGTTGGAAATTCATTGGAATTTGCTTGAAGGTTGCATGAGAATTTTTGAGATTTTATTTTGGAATTCAACTGTAGATTAAATAATTCATGAAGATTAGGATTGTGTTAAGAATTCAAGGAAATCAGTGTTTTTCCATGTGTTATTACTATTGTGGAGATGTCCAATTCATGATTTGAAATTATTAAAATTGAATGGAAATCATGACAAATCAGGAATTGAAGATGATAATCACTTGACTTTTCATAGTTTCCAAATATTTTTCCAAAACAAACGACCGATTTCGCAATAAATAAATCCATCGATAACTCATGTGCATTTATAGTTTCGAATATTCCAAAGGTTTTATTTTCCCATTGGGAATGAATTTTCCATCAACGTGAAAAATCAATTAAGGATGTTTATCCAGAACCGAAAGCACTCATAAAAAATGTTATTTTTTCCAATCGATTGACAGTAATCTCCCCTATTTTGATACAAATTGTCATCCATCGACCGAAAATTAATTATTCAGGGATAAAATGGCCAATATACGCAAAACATCACGTTAACATCGGGTCACAAGGGGCTTAATGTTTTGAATACTTCCATTATTTGGGTGGCTACCCCAGATTCTCCCTCAGCCACTGAATTCAGTATATTTTTCACATCGCCCTCTGTTTTTGTTTGAAGTCCCCTAGTAGGTGAATTATCAATTTCAGAATAAATCCCATAAAAAACCGAGTGTACACAAAATAACTCATCATATATTTTTCCATCAGCCCAAGACATTACAGAATTTCTCTCTAATGGATAAACATCCTTAAGGATAAGAAAGGCCGAACAATTTATCAAATCCTTGAATGAAACGGTTGATTAACTAGTACCTAAAACCTAAAAAAGGATAGTAACAAACCTGGTGGCTTGATACACTCTTATCAAACACCAGTTATCTCTTTCAGGCTGCCTGCGTGCTAAGGGTTGATGGCTCCAAATCCAGACAGTCCAAGAGGTAAGAAACTCTCGAGGGACAGTCGACATAAAAAAAAATCTCCTCAAATAGACGAGAGAAAAGCAATTCCTTAAAGCACACTCATCAATCAACCGAGTGCAGATGAAACTAAAATACCAGGGCACTTAAGCCCGCAATGAATCATTCAAAATCCTAGTAATCTAGACAATTCGTGTGATTTCGGTTACAGAGGAGTATGATGCATACATCATAGTGTCCTTCGTCAATGCAACACTAGTGCTTAGCATTGGTGAGACTGTTGAGGAAGTGACGGACTCGGGATTTCTCGGCACAACGCCAACCCTCAGTTGTTCAGCACTCGGTGAAGATGCACTTGTACAGGTGAGTTAAATTTTAATGAATTTAATTAACCATTGTTGCACTGCGGTATCTCCGGCACCTGGCATCATCCGCGTGTCGGTCGCTTTTATGTGCGAGATTAACTAGAGTTCACGCATCGTTGGAGCATTGTGTATATCATTGCAATACTCCTGGTAAAATGGCTCGTACACGTTAATAATTCAGGATAATGAGATTTTATATTCAACAAATGGAGCGATATTATGGGATTATTATCCCTTATCCATTCAGAAAAATCCCTTTGTCAATACTCTGGACAATTGTGAGAGGATTATAGCAGTTTCGTTATGTAGTGGTTGAGTGTATATTACGAGGAGAAATCGATAGGATTGAAATAAAAATGCAGTTTGCAAGGTACCGCGACTATTCAACACACAAAACGTTTCTACGTCTTTTAAAAAATTCTGGACCACGTTTCGGTCGGCTGCAGTCACATCAACGAAGGATAGCCAAAAATAAATAGAACACACTAATCCCGAAAAAACGGCGTGCAGTTTGTTCAAGACTAGTGTGTTTTGAGAGTAACACTGAGAGAAAAAAATAATATTTCATCAAACAAATCTTGTTTGAACTAAAAAAAAATTACAAGTTAAAAATTAAAAAAAAAATAGTGCTGACCGTTCGAAGACTGCCTTGAGATAGAAAATTTTTGCCGCAGAAATAGATTCAGTTGTTGCAAAATAGCTTTATTCGCTGTACAAACAAGAAATGCCACTTTTAGCACTTCTTTTTCGTTATTCAATATTCCCATACGTATTTAGCTCCTGAAAAGTGTTTGTTTTATGCGAATCAAGGAACGGTAGTTTTTTGTTTCGGCTATTCAATAGTCATAGTCGCAGTTAAGACATTAATTCTCTAATTAAATAATAATGATGATATGATATCTCGTTTCAAGATAAGCAGTCTTGAAACTTAGAGATAAAATGTTTCTTGATAAACTTGCCTTTCTAAGAGATATTTTCATCCGGGAAAGGCACGGTCTCGTCCATGTTTGAAACTTTCAAATTAAAATCAATTCCTTTTTTGGTCGTTTTTAGCTTGCGATTCTTTTAGTCCAAACAAGACATGTTTAAGAACTTTTCTGTTTTTCTCTCAGTGTATACTAACAAAGGATGTTCCTTTTTAACGTCAACTATACCTTCGCTGCTGCAAAAAATAAATTAATGTATTATCAAATATCTAAATTTTTATAAATTTTATTGTTTCCATTTCGAAACCCCATGCTTATTAATCAAAGAACAAATATACATAAAATGATTGACATTCAATGTCCGAGCGTTCGGGATTACCCAGGATTCATGACGGAGTACGTCTGTGGTTTGAACTCCCAAAAAGCCCTCCTATACCTATTGCGAAAATTGATTTTTGTTTTTTTTTGTGTTGATTTTTTCATGTGTAGATTAGTCGTGTAACCCTGATGACATTACTTATTCAATCAATGGAGCGATATTATGCGAGCATCTGTTTTCCATTTTAAAAAATTCCTTTATCAATATTTCCGACAATTGTAAGAGGAATATCCCAGTATTTGGCAATTTCATTATGTATTCGTTGAGTGCCTATTATAAAAAGAAGTCAGTACAATTGGGATAAAAATGTAGTTTGCACTCGAGTCATTTCTATTCAATATTTAGGAATTATGTGTTCAGAATTTTCTGTATTTCTGTTTCATTGAAGTAATGTATTAACAATGGTTCAAATATAATTTGTTATTCTCCATTTTTATTTAATAATTTTTCTAGATTATGATGTGTTCTGGAATCTTTTGCACCTGAAACTCCAATTTTTCCCTCAAAGTTCATGTTATATTCCACATCAAAAAGTTTCTCTCAATCTTCAGAATAAATTATTCCTACCAGGAATAATGCCATTCACAGTATAAAAGGATTTCTCAATGTCGTACTGCAAAGCAAGCATAAATAAATCGAAAAAGAGACTAGGCAACAATTCCTGTTCATATCTCCAAAACTAACACATATATTCAATTACCCTTTCAAGGTTTACCCCGACGGTATCCGTCACATTCGTGCCGACAAGCGTGTCAACGAGTGGAAAGCACCTGGTAAAAAGACAATTGTTAAATGCGCCGTGAATCAGCGACAAGTTGTAATCGCTCTGACAGGAGGAGAATTGGTCTACTTTGAGATGGATCCGGTAAGAAATTGCCTTCCATTGTATCTTTCGAATGAGACGTTTAACAAAAAAAAAAGCTGAATAAAAAGAAGAAAATACCGCATTTATTGTTCTCTCGGTGGCTTTCCCTCAGGGATGAATGGTCTACGAGACGTAAAGAATGCGAAGAGCCACTTTTGGCTCGATGATCATTCACTCAGCCATGAGAAACCCACTCGTGCTGTGATAATAGAGCTTACAATTACACCACTTTGATACCCAAGAAGATGAGTTCATTACCCCTCCCCCCAGGTGAATAAACCTCTTGTCTCTTTCCATTACAGACGGGACAATTGAACGAGTATACAGAGCGCAAGAAGATGCCATCTGAGGTGATGTGCATGGCCCTGGGGACTGTAGCAAGTGGTGAGCAACGCTCCTGGTTTCTGGCTGTCGGTCTACAGGACAACACAGTGAGAATAATCTCCCTGGATCCCTCGGACTGTCTAGCCCCGAGGAGTATGCAGGCCCTTCCAGCAGCTGCCGAGAGCCTCTGCATCGTCGAAATGGGAGCATCCAAGGACATGGGCAGCTCCGACGAGGAATCAGCCCAACAGCAAACCAGCCTCTACCTAAATATCGGTCTTCAGAATGGCGTACTGCTGAGAACCATGCTCGATCCAATATCCGGTGACTTGGCTGACACGAGAACTAGATATCTCGGCTCAAGACCCGTTAAGCTCTTTCGCATCCGTATGCAGGGTAATCAAGCGGTGTTAGCTATGAGCAGCAGGTCATGGCTGAGTTATTATTATCAAAATCGTTTTCACTTGACTCCATTATCGTATGAGAGTCTTGAGTTTGCATCTGGTTTTAGTTCAGAGCAGTGTCCCGAGGGCATAGTTGCTATATCAACGAATACACTGAGAATTTTAGCTCTTGAAAAGTTGGGCGCTGTGTTCAATCAAGTGAGCTTTCCACTTGAGTATACACCAAGAAAATTTGCCATTCACAATGACTCGGCGCATCTTATTGTCCTTGAGACTGAGCACAATGCTTATACTGAGGAGACCAAGCAGCAGAGACGTTTACAAATGGCTGAGGAGATGCAGGAAGCTGCTGGTGCTGAGGAGGCAGCTGTTGCCAGAGAATTGGCTGAGGCATTTCTGTCTGAAGAGCCCAATGAGGCAATTTTCGGTGCACCGAGGGCTGGCCCAGGACTCTGGGCTTCACTCATTAAAATTATGGCACCAACCACCGGGGACACATTCGAGGTGCATCGATTGGAGCAGAATTATGCAGCGCTGTGCTTAGCTATGGTTAAATTTGCCAATCAGGGGGATCAATTGTTCTTGATTGTTGGAGTTGCCAAGGAGTACCAGCTTAATCCGAGAATTAGTAATGGAGGATTTCTGTACACATACAAGTGAGTTTAATGAACTTTTGTTTTTTGTTTGAGAGCTCGGGATTATAATAGTTTATAAGAGTTCTAGCGTTAAATGCTGCTGGGGCTTTTAACGAATACCTTTTTCTTTTTTTTTGGGGGGGGGGGCGGC